GAATGCCCTAATAATGCCCACTTTATCGGTGGTTTTCTTGCATCTGTACCCAGGGTGTGGGTGGGGGTGTGGGGTGTGCGTGTGGGGGGGTGTGGGGTGTGGGTGGGTGTGGGTGTTCATGTTGGAGTTTTCGTGTTTGGTGTCTCTTTATTTAAATCCACACCCTCAAACCCACACCCCCCGTATACACCCACACCCACACTCACACCCACACCCCGGGTACAGATGCAAGAAAACTACCGATAATATGGCCATTATTAGGTCATTCATGATGTCTATCATTTATGATCATTCGTTTCAGATTTGTATGTGATTGAATAATTGAAAACGGCTCATCATGTGTCATCATTGAAAATTTGAACATGCAGAAAGTATAGCTGCATAAACATGTGAATCAATCAATGTCACTTTTAAAACTTTCAATGATGGTATTTGTGTTCAATTCTGAGTTGTTTTTGCTGCTCTTATTCTTAACAATTCACAGAATATTAAGTTAGGAAAATAATTCGAAAATATCGTTTCAAGCAAAGTTTCAATAGATGAATGATGTGCAACTGAAATTGAAAGATGTTTCAAGTAAGGTATTATATCAGGAGTCAATTGTGTGCAAATTTCTTGAAATGAATTAATACGAAAAAGACGACGAACATTCAAAAATTGCATAAGATTGACATTGATTCCGCCATCAATAATCAATGTATAAACATAACATGAAAAAAAAATTACGAATTTGTTTTAGTATCATTTGATGTTTTTATATGAAAAATAAGTTGAAGATGATTGAATCAATTTATTGAAACGAGAATTAATATTGTAAAAAGCTTCAAAGACTTCTCGAGCATCAAAATATATAAATATATCATTTAATAATTCGTTGGGTAAATCATTCAATTGAGATTGACTCATAATTTAAAAGTTTAATCTAAAAGAAAAAATGTAAATATTTTGAAATGAGACTGAAGATTGAAAACATGTGATAAAGATCCATTTTTATGAAAACTTTCTTTTAAATGATTCACAATACTTTTAATACTAAAGAAAATAACACTTATACTTCCTTCGCTAGACTTTTTACTTTCACAATTTTTTTGTGTTGTGAATGGTATGGTAATATAATATTCTCAAACCAGAAATTGGACAAAAAAAGAAAAATAATGAAGGTACAACCAACGGTCCCTATGAATCTATTCATTCTAAGTTCAAACAATATCACCGACCTTAATTATAAATCTTTTAAAATTTTCATGTGGTTCAATATTTCTTATGAATTTATCTATGGTAAATATTGTTCATTGAAGATAATATAACTGTGGACATCCTCATAGAACATCCTTAATAACTAATGACTTAAGAAATCTAGCTTTTATAGATATTGATGAAACTCTATACACCAATTGATTTAATTAACAGGGTATATGACGGTGTAAGTATGAAAGCATCAAAGAAAGTGAATCCAGTGGTGTCTTCAGTCTGAAGAAGTATCAATTTTGCAATTCTGCACAATCATGAAAAAAATAGATCTAGTCAAATAAATTTTGTTGATCCAATAAGTACATTTTGTACAACTAGATGTGGAATATTTGACCATATAAATGTTTTTTTTTCATTGATTAATTGAAACCGCTTACTTAAATTAAAAAAAACTATATGATAAATCATTTAATGATGTGTATTCAATTAATTCATAGAGAAGTTCATGTGGAAGATGTTTAATTTTAGATGGATTATTATTTAAAAATCTAAGAAGACACCTATTTTTTCATTTCAGTTAGCTATAAATCAGTTAAGAATGACATTATTTCCTAGCGTACATCGTCTGATTCTGTGTTGCAATCAGAAAACGCAGATCGAACGTAATGTAAGATATTTTTTTTTGGAGTTTTTTATACAAATATCAGCCTCTTGGTAGAAAGAATATAGCCATAAGAAGAATCTTAAAATCCCTCCGTATATTATTTGATACTTATATTATTTTTTTATGAAGTAGATACTGAATAGTGAACGATAAAAATAGATAATACACAAGTAGTTATTTTTGTAAATAGATGTCACTATATACACATTACTGTTGGGATGAGTAATAATATACTACCAAAAATATGTCGAGAGGGTTTAGCAGAGAATCAACGAATTACAGTCCATTTTTGCGTACCATGTTTCACGATAAACTACCACACTTAGCCAAGTTACAGAAAAAATTCACCTAGCCCTATACATAGCTCTGGGAGTTGCATGTGATCGGTTGAAGTCGAAAAAAGGTTATCGTGTACCTTTTCAATTAGATATATCACCAATGAGTCGTTTAAACCGTTTTTATGGGACTCGTCATGGCTAAATGTCACATGTTGCTTGAATTTAGCTCAAATCACTTTAAACTCGGAATGAGTTAAACTGTGACAAATGCGTTGACGATGACTACCTTCGAATGCAATCTTGAGGGCTGTGGGTATGGTTGAGTGTGTGTGAGATGTGGGTGTTTATTAGAGAATACCAAGACCAACACGCACATCCACAATCGATCATTTGACTATCCCATACTCCGTCAAAGATCGAAGTAGAATTGTCATCAGATCCGAAGAGAAATCAACCATCTCGATATTTTGAAACTAGGATGTAGGTGTGAATGTTTTATTCTTTCACACTCACACCCACCCTTGGGCTAGCTTGAGAAAAACTGCATCGATCGTATTTTCGTTAGATCTCACTACAATAGGGTGAAACTTTGGCTGCGATCAACATGCGATGAACTGCGCACATGGTAAAATAGTGAGCACGATTAGTCAAGATTTGAACGATTTTGCTCATAATCGGGACTTTTGTCAAGTACTATAGATGGGCATCCTGAAATTGGTTTAATATTCAATAATATTCGTTCTATATTATAATTCTAATAAAAAATACAATCAAGTGAAATATAATTAATATTTATGTGTAATTTTGAATGTTAACAAAATCAATATTGTTATCGGTGTTCGAAGAAGAGATAGCTTGTTGATATGCTTCTTTAAATCCATATTGACTTTTTTCAATCATATCTTCATTTGCAGTCAAACATATACGAAAATATCCAGGTATACCACATACTGAACCTGGTAAACATAAAATATTATATTTCGATAATAGTTCACAAAATGTTTGATCATTTTCTAAGGGTGATTTAACAAGTATATAAAATGTTCCTTGTGGTTTTACAGGTATTTTATAGCCTATTGATAATAATATATCTAATATCATATTTAATTTCTTTTCCATATGTTGTATATCAATACTAATAGAGAGTGTTTCAATATCTTGTATCATATATTGTGTTACACAATCAGGTACCATATATCCATTGACTGTTAATGTTCGAGGTAAATATGTACGAAATAATAAACGATAATCTAAAGACATTTGATTTGATAATGCGACATATCCCAATCGAGTACCCGGATTTAATAATGTTTTAGCATAAGTATAACATATAAATGTATATGGATATACTGTAGCAGGAGAAATAAATTCATTATTATGAAATAGTATATGATTATATGCTTCATCAGATATTAACCATATAGGTTGAGCATCAGGACCATATTTTTGTTGACGTTTATGATATTCATCCAATAATATATTTGATAATAATTGTAATGTAGTCAATGAATATATTTTACCTGTTGGATTATGAGGTGAATTAATGATAAGTACTTTTGTTTTATTATTTATTTTATTTTTTATATGATCAATATTTAAATCATAGGTATTCATATTTATATTAACTTCAATAAATATAGCTTGACATGCTATTATCATTGGTTCATAACAAAACCATGATGGAATAGGAACTATGACTTCATCGTCTTTATTTAACAACATAGATAAACATGTATAAATTCCACCAAAATTTCCTGTTACTAAATAAATATCTTCATATTCAAATGATAATCGTGATAATTTTTTCGATAAATTTGATGCAATAATTTTACGCGAAGGTTGTGTATTAACATTCGCTATAGTACAATAAGCATACCATTCAGGATTTAATGGTTCTACATATTTGTGATATGACGATATCAATGCAGGTAATGCCATATCACGTGGATTACCAAATGCAAAATCACATAGATCAGATGATGATGATGACGATATTGCTGTTTTATGTGCAGATATAGCTTTTGCATATTCATTACTAACAAATGATGAAACTCTTTGATAATGTGGTGAATTTATTGCCGATAATATTCGATGTGAGAATATTGATGATGGTACCATTTCGTTAATTTGGTCATTATTTGTGATATTACTAGAGGTCATTCTTGATGCAGTATCTGTAGAAACAACAAAAGGACATCGTGGTGATTATTTAGTCAAATTAAATGCTAAATTATGATCAACAATAAAAAGACGAAGCCAAATAATGTGTTAGATAGAGTTAGTTGATAGATCAACAGTTGTCATTTCAGTGAGTTCTAAGTACCTTTTCTTCTATCTAATCAACTTAAAAAAAATTGTCAGACAACTCTAAATATTATAATCATAAATTTGCAATGAATCATAGTCTGTTTTAGTATGAAGAGATGTTTCATCAGTGTGTCACATAAAGTTGTAATCTAATAAGATTTATTCTTGTCTAGAAAACTATCTTCTTCAATTTTCCATAGAAAATTACTTCTAAATGTCAAGTTTTCATTCTTCAGTTAGATTTTCTTACAATATGTGATTGATGTTGCTTAGTGTTCGAATTATACATCAAAAATGATTTAATCAATAGTTATAAATGATCGTCCATGTACAACTGAACAAAGTGATATATCAAAGTCATCATTGTCAAAGTCAAATTTGATAACTCGACATTGAAATGGTTCGAGTAAATCGTTCATAAATATATAGGAATATAATAGAGACTTATAGATTTTCTTATTTATACAGATGATAATTATCAACAACATAAACAAAAAAAATTATTTGACTTATAGGTAGATACTTTACAAAGATTCTTCTCTCTCGGTATTGAAGAACTACGAAGTAAGTCAGGCATAGGGGTGGCACTTTATCTTTTCTTTAACGAGTAAAGTAAATTAGACTTACTTTACTTTACTTCACTGAATGAAGTAAAGTAACCGTACTTTACCCGAAAAGAAAAGAAAAGTAAGGTAAAGTAAAGTAAAGTGAAGTATCTCTTACTTTACAGAAAAAGTTAAATGAAGTATTATAAGATAAAGTAAAGCATGTAGTTGATGATTATTGGTTTATTAGTTCATTATCACACATTAAGCACATTCTTATACGTCAAAAGTTGCGTCGAAATACGGACCGACAGCCCCAAATAATCTGAACCTATTTTTAAATATCTTGAGAATCAGCATTGAGCCCTCACTNTGACACTATTTTCCAGGTGAAAATTCATGTCTAGTACAGCACTTTTGCTCAAAATTCTATCCTTGAGACCTTGTTTGCTCCTTTTTTGACTAATATTCTATGGTTTTAGAATAGAAAAATCCTCATTTGACTCCACAAAAGTGTAATATCTGAATTTAACAAACAAAACTGAGTAGGTCTATGTGGCAGAGATGCTCATTGAATTTGGTTGATATGGGTACCTTTTGAATTAGGGCTTCCATGGGTTAGCCTTAACGCAAGCCGATGATCTTGATCAGACCATTCATACTGGCAGACAAACGTAGGTACCCCCCTAAAGTGATATTATATTCCATCATTTCGAACTGCTCTTTTGGGGAATGTCAGCCTCATTGAAACTGATCGCAAACACCACCACGCCCTCAGTTAGTTGACGTTTGCTGAAGACAGCACTTATACATCGTCATCGCCTTATCAAGGTCATATCTAGATCATTTTTCGACATTCACTTTCGAGCAATCCGTCATTCAAAAGCTCAGAGATGCAGCTATCATTAGCAAAATTTTGGTGAGAAATAGCGGAGATCTGAAGTTCGTACTGAAAACTTCTACCAAGTAGAAAATCCTTATTTTCAGTTTGGAATTGATAACTTGAGCTAAAATTGATCAATGCAACTTAAATTTCAGCAATGACTCACCATCGACCCACAAGTTTGTGATAAAATATTCAGAGTTGTAGCTCTATGCAGAGCTGAGATAGAGCTATTGAAAGAGTTTACCCTGCCACAGCGTGTCTATCAATGGAACTACGGTATTATGCGATGAGCTTTGGATCCAAGCAGCTAGGTATGCAAGGAGACAACTAGCATAAAAAAAAATTCATTTTAGGAGGACGAAACTGTGAACTAAAAGGTTTTAAGATGGTATTTCTCTTCAATTTCTTCAACCCCCCCCTCCCCACCCTGGTAGCGTATTTATGCACGGCATACTTCTCTGTTACGAAGCATTTCACCTCAAAACCATTTTGCTGACTTCACAGAGTTTCTGCTTCATGAAATCAGCCTTTTGTACACACCCTCTGAATTATTCTGACCAAAAAAGAGTATTTTCGGTAAGATGAGCGTAAATTCACTGGTATTTGACAGTTCTACTCACTTATAGGTAGTGCCAACGATTTATTGAAGACATGGAGGAAACATATCATCTCAAAAGCTTTTAGTTTATAGTGTTTCGTCATCCTAAAATGAATTTTTGCTCTTGTTGGTGTTAGTTGTCGCCCTGCTTAGCTAGTTGCTTGGGTCCAAAGATCACCACATAATATTGTTGCTCCATTTATAGGCAAAGTGTAGTGTGGTAAATTCTTCCAATGGCTATATCTCAGCTCTACATAGATCTACGGTTCTGAATATTTTACCACAAACCCGTGGATTGATGGTGAGTCATTGCTACAATGTTCCGCTGCATTGATCGATTTTAGCTCAAGTTATCGATTCCAAACTGAAAACAAATATTTTACACTTGGTAGACGTTTTCAGTTCGAACTTCGGTTCTCCGCTATTTCCCACCAAAATTTTACTAATGATCGTTGCATCTTTGAGGTTTCGAATGACGAGTTGCGCAAAAGTAAATGTCGAAAAATGATCGAGATGTGACATTCGTAAGACGATGACGATGTACAAGTGCTATCTTTAACAAACGTCAACCAATTGAGGGCGTGATGGTGTTTGCGATCAGTTTCAATGAGGCCGACATTTCCCAAAAGATCAGTTCGAAATGATGGCATATAATATCACTTTAGGGGGGGGGGGGTACCTACTTTTGTCCACAACCGTATATAATTCCATCTCCAACCCATCCAATAAAAGTTTCAGGTAAATTTTGTGGGTTAACCCAATGGTCAACCTTGAGCTAACCCATTAAATGATGCATATTACCATAAAAATTAGTTACGAAATGTGTTTTCAATGGATGTGTCGTTAGAAAACCAATTTTTGATCAAGTCAAGTCCATTTTGATCTCGATGAAACGAATCTGGTCGTATTTCAGTAAAATTTCTGAATAAAAGCTAGTTTGTAATGGTGCTAGGGAATGCTTTCAATCTTTCTTATTATCTGAGTACTTTCGAAAGCAAATGAGATATTTGTAATCAGTACACTTGGTACTGTTGAATCTTAAAGATCTGTGAGAGAGCAGTAAAAAAATGTATTTTCGATACCTGAGTGGGACCTCATATGTGAAAAGTTGGGTTGTGATAAAGTAGAAAATAAAATTACGAAAAATATTCAGGGTTCAATGCTGACCCTCAATGTAATAAAATTAGGTTCAAATTTTTCCGAGCCTTCGATCCGTAATTCGACACAACTTTTGATGTATTAAAATGTGATTAATGTCTGATAATAAACTAGTAAATCAATAACCATCAACTATATACTTTACTCTATCTTATTTTATTATATCTTACTTGTTCGGTGAAGTAAGAGATACTCCACTTTACTTTACTTTACTTTACTTTTCGGATAAAGTAGATCTCCTTTACTTTACTTTACATTATTAAAGTAAGATAAAGTTAAAGTACTACCCCTAGTCAGGCAGTTTGATATTGGAAGGAGACTTGTGAAAAGATAAATTTCTCGGTTGATAACTCTTTATAATGTTCTTCTTTTGTTCGTGTAAACTGTAACTAGTGTTATGATATCTACATGTTATATTGTTAGAATGTAGGTCAGCTTTCGTTACAGTTACATTCCCACACCTTGATCTTATTGCTAGACAATCTTTTATCTATACTCTATTGTCTATTAAAATCGACCTCTCGAACAGTCAGTATGCATGTCGGCAAATTTTCTTGTGAATCTCTCCAATGTGAACACACCTTACCTTTTACTGAGTAACTTTTGCTTGACATAGACGCCTCTCTAGAATAAACACGTCTCAATAGCAAACAGTGAAGTGATTTTTTTCAATCTCGTCAGAGAGACCGATTAAGTTATCAAATGTGAAAGTGAAAATGCCGGATGAAAAATGTCAAAAATGAAAATGTTGAAAAATGCCAATGTAGAAAGACAAAATGTCGAATATCGTGACTGTGAGAATTTCGTCGTACTTTTTAGTGCATTCTCTTGTCTCTAGTCTGTTCCTCAAAGCAATTCGAATTATCTCCCTCAAAATAAAAGGCCATACCTGTAACGATTCCTTTAGTTTATTATCCAAAAGAATGAGCTTCTTCTCTCTGTCCGCTTCTTATATAGCGAGAATCGTCCAAGAGAGAAAGAGAAAGAAACATCAATGCATAGGATAAGAACAGAACACAGCAAACAAAAACAAGAGAGAACATATGATATGTGTATATATATATGTGAGTAAGAGAACGTTCAACACGTTGAGTTACGTGTTGGTGATATCGTCATCAGCGTAGTTATGCACCAAGACAAATCATGTGATGAAGCTTAATGGCATAATGAGTTTGATCAGCCCATGCGAGCTATTATCACAAACGATGGTGATATAATGTATGATGTATAATGAGTTTATGTTAGAGTGTTACAATACCCTTATATATTGTGTCGACTCATCGCTACTTTATTTAAGGGCCTTCTATTGGGGAGTCAATTATTAATTTAATATTCTAATAATTAATTTATATTTGTAATTAATGTTTTTAAGCTATTTTTCGCTGAAAAATATGCTGTGTTATCAGAAATACATTATTAATGACAACGAATGAGGAAATTTCACGGGAAAATAGTAGACACCTGGATATTTTTCAAAATTATTAATTAATATTGTCCAAAATCAATATTTTTGAAGAATATTAATTAATAAGCACATAACTTTCTAATAAGACGTTTGAACGTTTTTCCGAATATGGCGTTATACTGGAAGTGGCCTTCTTCTATTCTGGAAGGGGGTAGAATA